AAAAAAAAAAAAAAAGACTTGGTAAAATTGACAAGGAGTCATATACATTTGACTACAAAACCTATCAAAGCACTCGTATACGAAGTGAGTTTTGTTTCAGGGTCTTCAGTTTGCTCCTCCTCCTTGTCCATCCTTATAATCCCTAGTAAGTGTACTTTGGGTGCAGCAAAGCATCTCTTTTTCAGCACCAAGTGACCTGACTGTGTATCAGTATTTGATATGCTGGCAATCTGGAAAGAAACATCTTCAGCAATTTTATCTTGGTCTTTTTCTTTCTGACCTTCTCTCCTGAAAAACCATGACTGAAGAGCTGCAATGTCTCACTGAGTCTGTCTAGGCTAAAACAATCTTCTTTTCCCCCCTGTTCTAGGGAGCCTTTGCCTACATAGTCAATTATTTCATGTACGTCCTCTGGGCTCTTCTATTTGCCTTCCTTGCTGTATCTCTTGTCAAGGTGTTCGCTCCTTATGCCTGTGGCTCCGGAATCCCTGAGGTGAGTCTCTTAAAATGGTTTATAAATGGTAACAATATGAATTCTTTTTGGTTAAAATCTTTTAATGTATATTCCAACATATACCACAATTTGATGAATATTAAGCAGGTTTAGATCCTGAGACCATTTAAAGCCTCTTTAGGTCTTTCCTCAAGTCTTCTACCTTCAGCCTTGGCCACCTGGAAATTAAAGGGTATTGATCTAAGCCTCCTGAAGGTTCCTACTGACCTAAACTCCTGAAGACTTTCCCTGCTCCCTATCTAAGAAGCTCCCAGGGTAAATCCCAAGATTCTGACCTGAAAAAGTAGGGGTATCATCAGCTTTGTTAGAGCAGAAGAAATAAAACCACTTTGCTACATTTCCATAATATGATTTAGGCTAGAAGGGGGATGGTTAAAACCCTATTTTTAACTACTTTTGGCTTAGATTGCTTGACAGTGACTGAAACCATTAACATTTTAGTTACCATGATGACCTTCCCCCTCTCTCCCTGTCTGTTTCCTGACCAAGTAATAGTTACAGATTTCTTTATCAGGGAATCAAGACTATATATAACCTTTAAGGTTGTTTCAGGGCCGGGCGCGGTGGCTCACGCCTGTAATCCTAGCATTCTGGGAGGCCGAGGCGGGCGGATTGCTTGAGGTCAAGAGTTCGAAACCAGCCTGAACAAGAGCGAGACCCCGTCTCTACTATAAATAGAAATAAATTAATTGGCCAACTAATAT